AAACTTGACCTCAATTGCTCAACTTTGGTTGATGAGTAATTTTGAACACGATCATATTATGGCCAAGTCAAAGAAGGGCATCTGACTTATTCTTAACATGTCCAACACTATTGATTTCGGATCCGTATTTACATTTCCCATGTTAATTAAAAAAGAAAAAGGAAGAAGAAGAAGAAGAAAGCATATACCACATTTGAGGGGGCATCTTGCTTATCAATGGAAAAACTTGCTTTAAAAAAAAAAAAAAGAAAAAGAAAAGAAAGAAAAGACAACCATGCTTTACTGGCACAACAAAAGGTTGAGTTGAGAAATAAGATTGTAATTCCATACACCACCAGCTAAGGTAGAATATTTTGAGAGTTTTTATGAAAGTGGAGTTCTAAAGAAAGAAGTTGCAAATTTAAGAACACAAGCAGCGGCAAATCATCTTAGTTTTGACGAACGATATAGACACTGTGAGAAGGTTAGCAATTTCTTTCTTAGATCCTCACTTAGAATGGCCTATTCCAAAATGAGATGTCACTTGAGAACATCATAGCACTTAATCGGTAGTTCAAGTGTTGCAAAATGGTAAAATGTGTTGGGGTTTCACTTTGATTTCAACTGTATTCGAATACCATTTAACTCATTGCATGAATCAATCAAACCATTCATTTAAGTATATAACTCAAGTCAACCTCCTTTCATGTAAATATTGTTCAAATAAAGAGAGCCCGATATAAAAAGATTGTTGGATTAATTCCTGTATTATTAATTTCAAAACTCTGGATTATTCAAAATTTCAATGCATCCATGAAGCTTCTAGGAGACCTCTGCAATGTGATCAACAGTCAACCGCCCAAGAACGCTTTGATTGATCCATTTAAAGTTTATGGGACCAAATTTTATAAAAAGATTAGATTAGAGAACCTAAATTCACATTTTTATGAAAGTTGAGGGACTAAATTCAGAGTTTTACGAAGGTTGCAGTGCAGAGAACTTAGTGGGTGTAATTTAAATTATATAATTCTCAAGGACCAAACTATAATTATAACTAAAAGGATGAGAAGAAACAGAGGAATACTTCCAACGAAGAGAAATACGACATCAAAACCGAACGGAACAAATCGGAGCTCAATTTTGCGGAGAGACGGAGGCGGAGCTGAAGCCTGAATCATGATCTCTCAGTTCTTCGTCTTGTCTCAGCGAGGCGATAATATTGTGTTTCGCGACTGTGAGTCCTCTTCTCCACCTTTAGTTTCTCCACTTTCTCTCTGGATCTGATCCAAGTTTTCGAATTCAATTGTTCTTTTGGCTTGTTTTTCTCCTCTTATCCTTCTTTGCATTCCTTGATAGTGATATCTTTAGTTTTTGCAATTTTTTTTTTGTATGAATTTGTTTCGAGAAATGAGTTAACAGATCTAAATTATCTCATAATCAATCCAAGCTTCACTTTGCTGGAGCAAGCTTCACTGAAAATGTAACTTGTTTTCTTTAATTTCTGATATTCATGCTTGTTATCAACTTGGATCAAGTGTTAGTTGAAGTTAACCGTAGGATCTGGGAAGATTGTTTTGGCCTGGATCAGTATGATTTAGCACAAGCGGTGTTGATTTTATACTGGAATCTGATTGTTATTGCAGATCGCGGTGAAGTACCGAAAGGAAGTGCAGAGATATTCTTCCGCAAAGTTAAGTTTTGGAAAGAAGACGGACAAGAGGAGGCACCACCTGTCTTTGTAGGTATTATCTTACTAAAGGATGTCAGGAAGTATGCTTTTAGATGTCCTGAACTGGCGATGTACTTTTAGTGGATGAGCTTCGTGGCTCATTATCTGCACATGGCTTGCTAATCACGTAGATTTCCTTTGGTTATGGTCAATTTCGCATTGATTTCATGCGGTTAATTGATTTTTCTTTCTGTAGATATTAGTCAGTTGTCTTTTGGAATCTTTTTGAGAAAGTGTCACTGATGTCTATTGGATTTGCTAACTGTTTTCTTTAATTCTTTCCAATTGGTAGAATGTGGATGGTGTAAACTACTTTCATGTTAAGGTTGTTGGACTGTTGTTTGTTGCAACCACAAGGGTTAATGTGTCACCATCTCTTGTCCTGGAGCTTCTACAAAGGATTGCTCGTGTCATTAAGGATTACCTGGGCATTCTAAATGAAGATTCATTGAGGAAGAACTTTGTTCTTGTGTATGAGTTGCTTGATGAAGTCATAGTAAGTCTCTTATCATATCACATAATCTGTTTAGCTTGTAAAAATGTTTTCTGCTATTTACCTTGGGATTTTTGCATGTTGCGTCATAGTTTCCTTTGTTTATGTTGATATGAGCTCACAATAGAATTTAGTCATTCTGATAAAAATTGGTAATCTTTGTAATTGTTATATTTGTTTTAATTTAACCATTCTAAAATTTGGTAATCTTTGTTGCTATGTTGAAGCTGTGAATTATTGATTATTGATGATTTGTTCTTCTGAAAAGTTTTACATAGCCTGACTGACTACTGCTTCTTCTTTTTTTATACCAGGACTTTGGTTATGTGCAAACAACATCCACTGAAGTATTGAAGTCCTATGTATTTAATGAACCAATAGTGGTTGATGCTGCACGACTCCAACCTCTTGGTCCTGCTGCAATCTTTATGGTATGATGTTGTCTGATTATCTTCCCTCAAATTGGTATTGGGCAGCATCTTATTTTATTGACATGCACATATGATTCCTACAATTTGGATGCATGCAGCAAGGGACCAAAAGAATGCCAGGGACAGCTGTCACAAAATCTGTTGTAGCAAATGAACCTGGAGGCAGAAAGAGGGAAGAAATTTTTGTGGATATAATTGAGAAAATCAGTGTTACATTCAGCTCTAGTGTAAGTGACTAGATTTTTTTATTCCAACCTTTTAAATTGTTTGTGCAGGGAAAATATGTTTTTACAAAAGTATCATATTCTTTTAAGCTCAGGTTTTGTAAATTAAGCTTTACTAGTTTACTTGTATTATCTTTCACATAATTATTATAAGGTTTTCTTCATTACTTTTATTCTAGTGATTGTGAAGTCATGTTTTAACAGGGATATATACTGACTTCTGAAATTGATGGAACTATTCAAATGAAGAGTTATCTGACTGGAAATCCAGAAATTCGATTAGCTCTTAATGATGATCTGAGCATAGGAAGAGGCGGGGGATCAGTCTATGGTGCTTCCATTTCACCTTCCTTATATCTTTTATGATTTTCATTATGAATTGCCTTTTTCATAGATTTTCTGCTTCTAAATTCAATGCATGTAGGCAAAAAAAAAAAGAAAAAAAAAAGTAGGTTGTTTGTCTCAAATATGTATGGAAGGCTATTTTCCATGTTATTATACTCCAGCTGTCCATATTCAAGCATTTATATGTCTTCTGTATATAGATTAATGTATCTTTTTTATTATTTTTTTGGGGGTAAAAAACTCAGGTAACGTTAATTAATATATATTATAATCACTTTTCCTTTTTTCTCTCTAATTTTAAAAGATTCTCCCCCCAAAAAGGGTTTTGATAATATCCTATCAGAGGATATTTTTAGAGCTAACAACAATTGTTTCTCAAAACTAACCCAAACACTCTTTTGGGAAGGTCAATGAAGGAACTGTGGATGCGTAATTAGAGATGGATAAACATAATTTTACTAGTAAATCAATTTTAATCAGCAGTGCTGCATTCCTATAATTTTTTGTTGTTGATGAAGCTACCCCTATGAAGTTCATTGTGTATCTTCAGACAAGATTTTATTTATTTATTTAATTTATTTTATGAGTATTTAGGATTTTAGTCCTCCTCAATTCTGGAATATAATATTCATTTGGCTGTTATGGTTAATTCAAATGTTCTTGTCATTTTCAGTCACCTAGACTGACAGACCAAATATTTACGATCCTTCTCTATCTAAGAATACTAGAAAATTTATCCTCTAATTGCTACTGCTTGCTGTGGCAGATTACAGGAGTTCATCTGGTTCTGGGGCAGTGATACTTGATGATTGTAATTTTCATGAATCTGTTCGACTTGATAGTTTTGATATGGACAGAACTCTGAGTCTGGTGAGTAAAACTTAGATGAAAAGTCTTTCAAATTGTATATTGATTGAAATTTGAAGAGACTTAATAGCTTCCCTTTGCATCATTTTACTGGTTGTTTCTTCTTGCAACTATTTTTAGGTACCACCAGATGGTGAATTCCCTGTCATGAACTACCGGATGACTCAGGAATTCAAGCCTCCTTTTCGTATTAACACTTTAATTGAAGAGGCAGGGGCCCTTAAAGTGAGTTTTCATTTCTTTGAGTCCATATGTTACAATGATAATTGTGCTGACATTTTCTAGTATAGAAAATGCATTACTTTACCAATATAGTTTTAGCTTGATAAACTAGAGATTAATTAATTTTTAGCGCTGGACCAGCTGTGAAATTTGTTACAGCATTTTATACCCTGCTTCAGTTATTTATAGTCAATGCATTAAAATCTTAGGCTGAAGTGATTCTCAAAGTACGTGCCGAGTTTGCCTCAAGCATTACTGCAAACACAGTTGTTGTCCAGATGCCATTGCCGAAGTACACTATCAGGTAGTTTTCCTTGTTTAACAGGAGCTGGCATGTATAGCATTTATTCAAACTAAGAATATTTTCTGATTTTGACATTTATGGTATCTTTGCTAAGAAAGCTGGAAGACTAAAGTTCATATCACTCTGCGTTCCAGCACAGTAGTTGATTATTTTGATTCTGGTAAATCAAATTTATTTAATGGAGGAAGAAGTTAAAAGAGTTCATTGCATGAAGTAATATCACTTTGTTTTCAAGTTTATGTGGCTTAGCAAGCATTCTTACTGGATACTGTCCCAAAGAAGACTCAGTTATAATGAAGTTTAATGAAGTTCATCCTGAGGGGGCTTTAGCATTTTCTAATTTCTATGCTTCACTAGGTTGACTGCCATGCTCTTACTGTGATGTCTGACATGGGAATTGGAAACTCAGTGTAGTTTCTCACATTATAATGAACACAAAATATTGAATGAATGTTCATAAAGCAGGTCCTACCGATTACCAACAATCAATCAACATATGAGCACTCGTGAAACAGGCACCACATAATATTGAAACTGATAAATTGAATAGTGAAGGATATGGAGATAGGTTCCTGCACAATGGAATTTGAAACAAAAATGTATTGGGGAATTTAAGATTCAATTTATGTATACTTATCTTGCTATTGTAAAATCTGTTCTTCCAAATGTTAAAAGTTAAAACCAATTCAAATCAAGGGCAATCATTTCATTGTGAATTTTAGTAGGTTGTTTCTGGAGGTTGATAATTAGCTCCCCTTTTTTTTTTTGGGTTGGCCTTGAATAATAATTTGCTATTGGAGTTCATTCTTTCATGCTTCGTAGAGATGCATTTTCATGGATTAAATTTATTATTTTTGATATCTTAACAGAGCTAGTTTTGAATTGGAACCTGGAGCTGTTGGGCAAAGAACAGATTTCAAGGAGGCAAACAAGAGACTGGAATGGGGTTTGAAGAAGGTAAAAACCTTTTATAGATGATTCCATAAATTTCAAGTTTTCAACTGCTGAATAACTGAAGTTGATCCATACTTGCGTTTTTCCCCTCTCAATGCAATTAATATGCTTTCAATCAGATTATTTATGTTACTGATAAACAAAATGCTTGATTAGATTGTTGGTGGATCTGAATATACACTGCGTGCTAAGTTGACATTTTCACAAGAATCACATGGTATTATTTATCAATCATTTCAAAATCTTACTTTTCCCTCGTGATGATTTTTGGTGAAATGATGTTTATTGTATTTTTTCATGTTATGTCACATGCATTGCTTAGGAAATATTACAAAGGAAGCGGGACCAGTTAGCATGACTTTCACAATACCAATGTATAATGCTTCAAGGCTTCAGGTAAAATAATGTCTTTCTATTTAGCTGGATAAATCTTTTTGCCATGTAATTACATCGACCAACACCCAAATCCCAAAATCCCCTTCCTACCCCCATTCTTATCTCTCCAAACACGCAGCAGATCAATAATAAAGGATATATTCTAAGTTAATGGTGTCTTTGAGTTCTCATGAAGATCAGCAATTTCTCATAGCTACTTTAATGCAGGTGAAATACTTGCAGATCGCAAAGAAATCCAGTGCTTATAATCCATATCGATGGGTGAGATACGTCACTCAGGCCAATTCCTATGTTGCGCGAATATGATATCCTAGCGCTTCCATCATTTCCTTGCCTATCATTTGTTGTCATGTTTTCACATTGACGGGGTTTTACATTTTTGTTGAATCAAAATGAATGTTTTAATAGTGTATATTAGCCACTGCCAACTGCGGCTTTTGGTGGGATATCTTCTGCTAGAAAACATGTCAATTGAGTACGCTACTGGACATACATTCTATTACTCCTATCAACAGGTGCTCTTTCAAATTGTACGTTAACCTAGTTAGATTTCGTAGTGCCAACGATGTCATTACTTCCTGGGCTTGTGGAAGTGATAAAACTTAATCAAAAACAGAGGAAGAGAAATGACATTGTTCTATTAGCCATATTCTTATGACATCCTTAGAAGATTTACCACCACCCCCTTTTCTATACTTGGTGAGTTGTCGATTTTTTGTTGGTTTAGGAGTATGTCCCCGTAAAACAGCAGAATTTGTCCTTAATAGAGGTGATACTGTCAAAAGTTTAGACTCTGTTGGTTACGTTGCTTCGCTTTTACCCTTCTGAAGGGATGGGATTCTACTAGGTGCATTGCATCCATATTACTCTCACCCGTATGAGCGATTAAAATGTCTTTTTAAGACAAGAAAGACAAATAAATGTGCAAATAAGGATTTCAATTTTGTATTTTTTTCTATTTGAGAATGTTAATTTTATCAGTTTCTAAATAAGGATGTTCACTTTTAATTTTTTTAAATAAGGATGTTAACTTTTAACTTTTTTTAATTAAAAAAAACAAATTTCAAACTTTTCTATTTAAAGGTTAATTGAATAGTGATGTTGACGTGGCTAACATATTTTTTTAGGTTAAATATCTAAATTGGTCTTTCAATTTCTATTTTTGAACCAATTCATCCTTGAACTTCAAAAAACACCAAAAATGTCCTTCAATTTCAATTTTCAATTTCGTCTTTCCATCAGTTAAATGTTGATATAGCTAATTTTTTCGCTAAGTGATTGCCTATTTTACATTTTTAATATTAGGTGGAAAATCCATCATGTAAAAGATGATTATGTGGATTTTTTTAATTTTAAATAATTTACAAACTACTTTAATTTTTAATTTTACTTTATTTATATTTAAAAATTAAAACAATTAATATATTTTCCCATTTAATTAGTCCCACCCCTACCATTTAATAAAATTAAATAAAATTTAATTAATTCTTCCATGAATTAGGAAATAATTTTATTAATTGAAAATTGAAGTTAAAGGATTTGTTGGTACTTTATGAAGTTTAAAGATGAATTGGTTCAAAAATAAAAATTGAGGGACTAATTTAGGTATTTATCCTAAAAAATATGTTAGTCAAGTCAGTATCACTATTCAATTAATCCTTAAATAGAAAAAGTTAAAAATTGATATTCTTAAATAAAAAAAATTAAAAGTTAACATCCTGATTTTAAAAAAATTAAAAGTTGACATCTTTATTTAAAAATTAATAAAATTAATATTCTTAAATAAAAAAAGTATAAAGTTGAATCCTGATTTTAAAAAAATTAAAAGTTAACATCTTTATTTAAAAATTAATAAAATTAATATTCTTAAATAAAAAAAGTATAAAGTTGAAATCCTTATTTGCACCTTTACTCTTTACTCTAATAAAGACTAGTTGTAAGTTTAGAGCCTGTGAGTTTAAAATCTTTTGAATTCTAACGTCTTCTCATATTCTCCCTGGATAATTTTCTTTAAGAAAAACATTCTCACATTTAACCCACCGACTCAGGACAAACTTTAACCAATGGCGAAGCTCTGGTTTTGTTTGTCCAGATGCTGGTGTCTCTGCTGTCTTCTTTCCACTTGTGCAGTGTTCTCACTTTCGGTCGCTGTTGCGGGTGTCATATTCGGCTATAGTTACTCCCAGCGGCAATCATGCTTCCATTCCATGCAAAGCTAAGACAATCTAATGCTTTAGTCTAAAGCATTGCCTGTAAAATTCAAACCCATTGCTCAATACAAAAGGTTTCTAAAGCAATTTTGAGTAATGCTTTTCATGGTCGATCGAAAAGCACTTTCATTGATACACGAAGATTTCAATAACAAAAACCTACCTCAATTAACTACGCATTGGTTACAATTTGGCTCAACAGCACAACGGCTAGTTCCAAAAAAGAAGTCTTTTGGAGGCTTGGGTTTAGGGGTGGGCAAAAATCGGTTTTGGTTAAAACCGAAACCAATTTTGAATTAACCAAAAAAATTTTATTTTAATTTTGAAAACTAAAATTGAATCAAAATTTTTAAAAACCAATTGGTTCAGTTACGAATAAAATCGGTTTGATTTCAATTTTAACCAAGGAAACATTAATTAGTTTTTTTTTTCAATAATAGATTATATTTCATGTAATATTTTATTATATTTTATCATATTTAACCATATTTCAGTTTTCAGGTGGCTCTTTTTGGTTTTTAATTTGTAAAAACTTAAATCAAAATCGAACCAAAATTTATTTGGTTAATATCAAAACCAAAATAGTAACACTTAAAAACTATTGAAATGAAACCAAATTTATTTTTTTTGTTCGGTTTCTGGGTAACCATTTGGTTTCCCAACCGAATGCCCACCCCTACTTGGATTACAATTTGGTTCATAGTTGACTGGTCCATTCAGCTATGGAGAAACCAATTTGTCAAAGTAGAGAAAGAAAAGTGCGAAAACGAGGTGGAACTAGTGAAGGTCAGATCTTTCTCTTGCTCAAGGCATTAATATGGCTTAATTTATCTTTAGAGGTATGGTATAAATCAACTAGAGAAGCATTAATTGGAGATAAAGGTTACCTTTTGATTGATTGCACTTTAGACTTAGAAAAAAGATTTTTGTATTTAATGTGGGATTAATGACTATAATTTGGTAACAAAATTTTTTTCTCTTATAATGAGTTGAATACTTCTTATACTTCTTTTAGTGAAGGTTAATTTACTAGATAATAAAAATAAATAAATAACTATGCATAGTTGAAAGTAATTTCTCAAGTTTTTTCTTTAATTGTCATGTAAATTGATAGTTTAAGTATTTTAGTATGTTTAACATAAAATTATTAATTTAAACTTACACATTTAACAGCTGTTCGGAATGAATGAGGTTAAAACTCTTACCCACTCAATAACAGTTAAAATTAAGGTCCACGTACTTCTTAAAAACATAAATAAAAATTATTAACAATAATTTATTAAAAAACTTATATATTACTCACAGTTACACTTCTTTCCTTTTCATCTTGTCAAACACAGATGCACTTGCTAGTTTGTATGGAAGAGTAATCCCATGCCAAAATACAATGAAGGCCCACAGTCTATATGAGTACTCAATCTACACCATAACGAGGAAAATGGAAAAATTCTCCAGACATCGAATAAATGCAGACTGCGAAGTAAGAGAAGAAAGAAGGGATTTAAATTATATAAAAAAAAAAAAATAAGGGGGGGCAAGAGAAGGGTGTTGGGGCCTGGGCTCATAACAATCTGGACTGGTCCACTTTGATATTTACCTTTTTACATTTTTTAATGGGTAAAGGAACAAATTCATCTTTTGCATTTTTGGGGGTGAAGACAGTAAGACCCCAAAATTGCAAAACGTGCTTCTTTAAACAAAAGTGATTATGAGCCATTTATTTGGAATTATGATAAATGTTTTGAATTTCATGGTGTTAAAAATGACTATGAAGTATGAACTTTAAATTAAAATAGTAGTTTTATGTTTCAAAGAGAGTTTTGAGACGACAAGTTAGAGATAAATTCAAATTTACAATCATATAATCCATAAATAGTTTAGATAAAAAAAAAATGAGAAGAAGAAAAATTCCTTTGACCAAGCCCATAGGAAACAAGAGAAATCATCCTTGAAAAAACCCAAACTTAATGAAACCGCCCTGTCAAAAGTAAGTGAGCCGAGACTTTGAATTTAGGAGTCGTTGGAGAGATAAATGTAATTCTTTTAGATAAAGATCAAATATCAAAAGGAGAAATGGTAACATGTGCTTGGTTTTAGCGACCGTATGGTTTTAAACAGGGGATATTGGTTTGCATGCCTAAAATTGAACACGTAAGTGTCCTAAGTTCTAAAAGCAAAAATGTCTAAATTTTGCATAGAAAGTCAGTGTATTTTGGCTACCTTATTGTAGTACTATTATCAATTTTCCCATTCTTCTTAAGAATTTGGAAACCCTCCCAACCCAATTAAACTTTATTTAATATAACTTCAACTATAATAGAAGACCAAAAAGCCTAGAGAAAATTTTTTTTTTCTTTTTCCAATAAACGAAACTACGCAAACACATTAGTACAAAATAGGAAAGGGAAATGATAGAAATGTAGAATATGGATAATTATGGATAAAACGGGCATCCCCCATAACCCCAAAAAAGAACATCAAGAGTCATTTTCAATCCATCCACTCGGTCGGGAGGACCCTCAAATATCTATCTTTCAAACTTGGAGAAACGAAGGAAAGCCATAGGCGGTGCAAAGATGAGCTACCCATTTTCCCCTCTCCTCCCCCTTTTGTGGACCCAACCCTTACCTTCAACCAGCGGCGCCATTTAGTCTTTACTTGGTTTCAAAGCTCACCCACCTCCACTCTCTCTCTCATGATCACCTTTCCATCCCCATTTTTTAATATTCTTTATAAACAAATCCAAACGCTACAATTGTATCTTCTTCCTCCACCGCAAACCCATTTCCATTTCCATCCCCTCTTGTTCCTTCCCTTGTTTTCTTGCCTTTCCTTTTTTATATTAATAGTTTTACAATACCCAACCCAAATCCAAAATTCCACCAATCATACAAAGTAGACAACAAACAAGAACATAAAAAAGCAAAAAGAATTAGTGACCCCTTGTTTAAAAAAAAGGGCAAAAATATCCAACATGAAAGGGGAGTATGTAGAACACAAAAATGAAAACCCCAACAACATGTTCTCAAAACTTCACCACCCAAACCCACAACCCAACCAACACCAAAGCCACCCTTTTCCCCACCATTTCCAACTCTCAAGGGTGTCACAGACGCCAGAATCTGATGACACCAGCCGCACCACTCCCATCACTGCCCCTTCCCAGAAAGAACCCAACAGCAGCGGAGGTGGTGATGAAGCCACCATTGAATTGGTTCGCAGGCCAAGGGGAAGGCCTCCAGGGTCGAAGAACAAGCCCAAGCCCCCTGTCATCATTACCCGGGAGCCCGACCCAGCTATGAGTCCTTACATTCTAGAAGTCCAAGGAGGGAACGACATCGTTGAGGTTGTCTCCCGCTTCTGCCGGCGCAAGAATCTCGGGATTTGCATCCTCACGGGATCCGGCACCGTTTCCAACGTCACTCTCCGCCAGCCCTCCGCCACTCCTGGAGCCATCATAACCTTCCACGGCAGATTCGACATCCTCTCCCTCTCCGCCACGTTCCTCCCCCAAACCGCCTCCTATCACGTTCCCAATACGTTTTCGATCTCTCTGGCAGGCCCACAGGGGCAGATCGTAGGAGGGTTTGTTGCAGGACCACTGGTTGCAGCGGGGACCGTTTTTATCATAGCCTCCACTTTCATCAACCCCTCGTACCACCAGTTGCCTGGAGAGGAAGAGGAGAGGAACCCAGTCTCACCCGGTGGCGGTGGTGATGGGCAGTCGCAGTCTCCCCCCATGTCCGGTGGCGGTGCGGACTCCGCTCATGGTGGAGCAGACTCGTGTCCGGTCTCGATGTACGGCTGTCATTTGGGTGGTTCTGATGTGATCTGGGCACCAAACGCAAGACCACCGCCTTACTGATGTTCAAGGTTTTTGAGATTTCGATTTTCCTTTCTTTTCCGTTTTTGTCTTTTTACCTTGAGACTGAGATCACTGTGAATGAATTAAGCTTTAGATGACCCTTTTTTTTTTTAATTATTATGTAGTGATTTTGCAATTTCATGTTATGAATATTATGAATTTCACTTTTCATCAATCATGATGTATCTCTACACCCATTTTTCCCTTTTGTTAATTTCTTTTGAGAAAAGTATGAATTTTTTCTCCCTTGAAAAAATAAAAGAAAATCCATCACTCAATCATGAAGTAAGTGTGGTACATGTGTTTTTTTTAGACATGAAAAAATTGGAGAAAGGGAAATTATATCACAAGAATTTAAATTATAATGATATTTATGATCTAAAATACACCTTATTATTGCCAGCCCTCGCTGTGGGTGCGTGGTAGATGTGTGTACCAAAGAAGTGAGATTTTCTCAGGAAACAGTGAGATTTCCTCAGGAAAAAGAAGTGGGTTTAAAGCAATTTTTAATGCATGGTAGTAGGTGTTTGTATAATTTGCATTAATGGAAAGATTGGGTGGGGAGCGGAGGAAGGTGTATTTGCTTTGAAGTTTGAAACTGAGCTGCTGAGCGCTGCTGAGCACATAGCATGAGAAAGGATTCTGCAATGGTGCAGAAGATAATAGTGATTCGACTGATCATTTCATCTCTCTGGATAAAAGCGTGTGGCAGAAGGAAACGTGGCTAGGGTTTGTGCTTGACAGCTTTTTTTCTTCTTTACACGGGTTGCTGTTATCCAATATACACTACGTTCTTGCATTCTCATCCCAGCAGTACCTCTATCCTCCACTCTGTAGTTGTGCATTTACTTTTTTTTATCTGATCTCATCTGTACTTTGCTTTGCATCTTTTGCTGCCATCTTTCGTTGATGGGAAAAAAGTTGGGAAAAAACAGGACATGAGCAAAAATTAAAGAGGTTTTGGCTCCTGCTCCCTCCATCTCCTCATTTCTTTTAAGATGATACTGTTGAGGTTTACTAGTACTAGTACTTAATTAGTGGGTGTTTGTTTCCCCAGTTTAAAGAATACTTATTAATTGTGTTATTTAACACAACATATTATATATTTTAACTCATAAATAATAATAATAATTATTATTTATTAAATATTGAGAATTAGTTTTTAATTATATTAAAATGATTAATTTAAATATCTTAATTTGTGTCTCAACCTTTCTTTTTTCTTGTTATTTTATGTTGTTCAACTGTTTTTCTATTTGATGAAATATAGTTTTTTTTTTTTTGGATGAGAAAGTAGAAGCTAGACCCTAATAAATTCACTTAAAAAAAGAGAGTGAGGAATAGGCATAAAGTGTTTATTAATTAAATTTTTAAAAGAAATAGAAAAAAATATATTTTAAAATTAT